TAATTGCAGGCGGAAGCGGGAAGTGATGGCCTACGGTAATTGCGGTGCATCAACCTTTGTCATTTGTTGACCTCAAAAATGCAACTTTGCAATGGAAATTTTAATATTACGAATATTCCTTGACGATGAATAATTACTATACGAACTTTCTATATGTAGTCATTATTTCTCTATCATTTTAATTTAATATTTTTGTTATTACTGACAATCCATAGTATTCGTACCTTTAATTTGTTTACTAAAATAGATTATTATTCTGATTATTAACTAAATAAGTTAAATATTCCTACTCATGTACCCGATGGCGAATATCGCGCAGCTCTTCATGTTTCATTTCAGCTTAATTAGAAAAATCAACAATACTCGAGGCGTCCACAGAGTGGGGCTATACAACTGTACATACAATCATGCAGGCTGTATTATAGGGCCACGCATCAGCACAGTTGTCCTGCTATTAACCTGGCTTATAAAAGCTTCTCGCCGCTGCCATCTGGCCACTGTTGGGTCACACTGCCTCGTTGACACCGACGCTTCTCCTCACTCCATAGTAATTCTCACTTTCGATTTCACGCAGTGGTTCGATCGTGCGTCTTTAGGTTCGAGCACTCACAGTGAGTGTGATTGGTTTAATACATCAATAGTATTCCATGTCCATATAAATGCTAACTGTTTGTCGGTATACGATATTTGTCCACAAAATTAAAAAAATTAGTTGAATTCAAGCAAGGATTTGATAACTATTGTAAAATGCACTGGCCTGAATCGTCAATGAGATTTTGCATTGATTTTAGTTCAAAGACGGAAGTTTCTAGCTTTTGACAATTGTCAAGATTTTTTTTAGCCATGCCCATTTTACTGTTATATTTGGACAGGACGTTTTGAATTACCATTTAAAAAAATTAAAATTACCATTTAAAACGTACCATTTGGACGTTTTAAAATACCATTTGAGTAACTGCCATCATATGATGAATTTCTCTAGTTACGAGTTCATTTTTATTCATTGATGGAGACTACGAATAATCCATTCTCTAGTCGGTGACAGTGCGATCTAACATACCAATCCACTGGTGGATGACTGTGCTGTCCAATGTTCCAGTCCACAAGTGTATGACCGTGTGGTCTAATATTCCATTCATGCGACGTATGACCGTGTGTTCTAATATTCCGTTCATGTGACGTGTGACCGTGTGGTCTAATATTCCATTCACGTGACGTATGACCGTGTGGTCTAATATTCCATTCATGCGACGTATGACCGTGCGGTCTAATGTTCCATTCACGTGACGTATGGCCGTGCGGTCTAATATTCCATTCACGCGACGTGTGACCGTGTGGTCTAATATTCCATTCATGCGACGTATGACCGTGTGGTCTAATATTCCATTCACGCGACGTGTGACCGTGTGGTCTAATGTTCCATTCACGCGACGTATGACCGTGTGGTCTAATATTCCATTTACGCGACGTGTGACCGTGTGGTCTAATGTTCCATTCACGCGACGTATGACCTGTCTCTTATACACATCTAGATGTGTATAAGAGACAGACGTATGACCGTGTGGTCTAATATTCCATTTACGCGACGTGTGACCGTGTGGTCTAATGTTCCATTCACGCGACGTATGACCGTGTGGTCTAATATTCCATTCATGTGACGTATGACCGTGCGGTCTAAGGATCATCATTTATCTTTTTATATCAAATTTCAGCTTATCATTTAATCACGAGGTTGTCGTCGTTGTGATTGGTTTTCTTGAGAACCGCGCTCTCTGCCACGAAGATGGTGGTGACGGCTAAGCTCTTGCTTCATCTGGTGTTCGTATTCCTCCTCATCCACGGAACGCAGGTTTGTTGTGCACGCATATTTCCATGTACTCATTATCCCAATTCTCATTAAAATCACATTCGACCATAGTTAAATCACCAAAAAATTTTGCATTCGATATTTTACGTAATTGAATCATATAATTTTTATAGATTTCCCACTGATATCTAAGCCTCATGTAATGTTGGGAAATATTTCCCAGAGCAAATAAATAATTAATCGCAGAATCTATCAGTCAATGTCAATTTCAAAATTCTGCGGACATAATTTCCCAAAACTTCTCGATTAATGTGACAAATATTACATCATTCCGAATTTATCGCTTCGTTAAGGCATCTCCGTAACATCAAGCTAATTGTTATCAACATTTCATCGCGCAGGGCGTGCCTGTAGAAGGCATCTCCGTAACATCAAACTAATTGTTATCAACATTTCCTTGTTCAGGGCGTGCCTGTAGAAGGCATCTCCGTAATATCAAGCTAATTGTTATCAATATTTCATTGCGCAGGGCGTGCCTGTAGAGGATGGCCCTGCCCTCGTAAGAGGCCCAAGCCTCCGCAAGATCGTCACTTTTGACTGGGACCTCTGGCCTCTGTGGTACGGAGAGCGTTACGTCGCCTACAGGTTCGGCGACGGTCAGTTAACCTAACTTTAGATTNATTTATCCTCGTAGAGTTTTGTTAAGGGACCTAAAACCCACCTCCCTTTGAGGAGCTGTCACAAAGTCATTTTTCGACGCACAGGGACGATACTTATATCGTTCGATGCGCAAGAAAACAACCTTTAAGATGAGATAAGAAACAGAAAAACTCAACATTTTCAAATTTTAGCTAGGTCGGTCCCCTTAATGCAATGTTTACGTACATTCATGGCACAAGAACTGACTAGTATTCAGCAATTGATGACACAAGTTGCTTATATTAACCAATATGGTTGTAACAGGCAGACTATAGTAGTGTTTGCTCCCAGGTAACCCTGGTTGTTCAGGTTTATCGCTCTTAGGTTTTAAGTTCATCAACTGATGCGAGAAGAGCTCGTTTTAGTGTCGAACATTTTGTTCAGTAACTTAGTTGGATTAGCCAGTTAATATTTTATTGTTGTTATTGTTATGGTTGTCTTTAAGCTAAACTATGAGTTAATAATGCTGATTTTCGATGGTCGCAATTAAGAGTGAATGACATTTGAGACCGGCTGCACAGTCAAGGAGGGGAATCTGATCTTTATTTATGGCAGTGTATATTTTTTCAGTGCCAATTTTATTCCATCATTCCATGGTTCGTTTATGGATTACGGTATATCCATTTGTTCCATGCTTTTCAATTCAGACTGTTGAGCTCTGAAGCTCAGCTGAAAAATTTTGTATATGAGATCGTGTCAGTGGCATGATTTTTATTGCCTATTTATTATCTGCTATCATTCCTAATCCTATCATGTATTTTCCGTCCTCAATGCTATTCCTACCTACCTGCCTGTTAACTAGAGTTTTACGTATTAGACAGAGGGCTGAAAGTAACCAGGTATCTAGTCAGTTAGGAATCATCATTATTATTCTGCTTCATCTATGCATTCCTTGGAAATTTAATCTTTCATAGGTTAAGCGTTTTCCTCTCTTCTCTTGGTAGGTGAAATTAAAAAAATGTTCCCGTGTTTGATGTCTGCCAGCATCTATTTGAAGATGGATTTCAATTTCCTTATATCAATGATTAACTTGTATTGATAATTTCCTTGTACGTGCAATTTCATTGTATATATCTTGCTCATCCCTTGACTGGAAGTCTCTCTTGTCAAGTACTTATTTTTTGTTTCAGAGCGCTCTTGTAGTTGACAATGAAATTTAGAAGAAAATATTCCCGGCTAGACTTCCATGAGTTTGCAGTTCGCACCATGTACACATTTTTATAATTATTATTATATACGGTAGTTCTTAACCTGGCGTATTCGCCGGTACATATCATGTATGTAGAACCTGACTTCCCTCGTTCCTATGCTTGCAAGCGTACGATATTATATTTTGTACGTGAATAATTTTCCCCGTTCGAGTCATATCAAGCAGAGCAGTAGGGGATTTAATCATAAAACTCATAACATAACAACATAACTTAAAACACAAAATCATAAACTTAACCATCTGCAAAATAGGGAGGCTGGAACTGACCTGGTCGTGTGAGACCAAGACTGGGAAACGACCTGCCTATAGTTTGTGTAAGTGAAATATTATTATTATTATTATTATTATTGTGTGGTCATGATCTCTACTTTCCTCGCACCGTGTGGCCACCGCTACATCTACGGCACTTTTCCCCTCTTGAGGCTTCACTTTCTTTGTATGATTTGTAAAATATAGATTCAAATATTGATTTTCCAGTACCAGTAGAATGTAAGTCGTGATTTATTGAACTTCATGATTTCAACGGCATTTGTTTGCTTGTGTAGTTTAAGTATGTGAAACATGATTTATTGTGTTGGTATTTTTTGCGTGATTCTGATTATTTCCGGTGGCGAACTCTTAGAGAAGAACGCTACACGCTGAGAAATCGCTACGCTGGCACGCTGGGACGCTTACACAAGTTACAGTACCTATGCAGATACATAGGTACTAACTCCTCTGATTTAATTATAATCTGGGATCGTTATATCAAAACTTGCTCAAGTAAACGTAGCGGCCTATGTACACGTAGCGGCCGATTGGTCGTCTGTGACTGGTGGGTTTGCCTGAAAAGCCGGTACTTCATAGTTGGCGGATTTATGAACTATTTTCGGTAGTATGGCCCTTGGCCTCTTAGACCACATGAGCGCTGCCCATTGCCCAACTCATCATGAATCATTTACGTATCCTGGACACTACGACGCAAAAATATTAGAAATTTAAAAGCGAAGAAAACTCCACAAAAAATTCAGCATTTCACTATTGAAAACGTTTCGGAGACCAGCTCCATCGTCAGTTCGATTAATCTAGAACAAATACAGTCAGAAAATTAATAAAGTTTGGAGTCATAAGGAAACAAAAACAACAGAAGTTAAAACCTAAATTTACAGGCAAAGGGCGAAATATTGTTTTAAATGTTAACCCAGCATCTTCATTCACCTTTTATATTTCTGACTGGCACGGGTGATTAAATTTTTTCCATTCCGAACAACAATTAAGTGAAGTGGAGTGATCAAAATCTGAGTTGTGCTCAGGCTGGGAGGTGTGCTACCTGCATACCCGAAGTCTTCAAATCAAATTAAAAAAAAATCAGTAGTGGCTAGCTAGTAGGTGCTTGCACTTGACAAGGTAGGTAGGTAGTGTTGGTAGTGACTTAGTGTTAGAAGTTAGAGTGTGCTGTCTTAGACTCTTAGTTACCTAGTGCTTAGCATGGTTGAAGTATATAGTTGTTCAACCACGAGTGCTTTGTGTTGTGGTATGTCAGGAATCATGAGAGTTGAGAACTTGAGAGTCACTGAGTCAGTTGAATTCATGTCGCTGCAGCGCTAGACCGAAAATATCGTAGATAATTTTTTTTACTAAAATAATTATTGGAATCAAACCAAGCGCTAGTCTCCGCTAGACAGAACGTAGGCCTACTACAATATATGACCTTCATATTACTCTCTCGAAGACTTGTTAGACTATGAGAGGCAGGAGCCAGCAATTTATGGTGAGTGAAGCTAGAGTATAGACCTATATTTTGCATGTTTCAATTCAAGTTTAATTTAGCTAGTAAAAAAATGGCATCATTTGTAAAAAAAAAGTGGTCTAAGTTACCCCATTTTACGGTATGTAATGTATGTAATGTTAGATATTTGATAGCTTAATTATTTCTTTGTTTGCTCAAAATTTTCGAGTTTAGCGCCTTTCGTGGCCAGTTTACCACCCGTAGGCCGTAGCTCCTATTTCCAGTCGAAATCGATTTTCACAATGGCAAAATTTTAATGTTGCAACTTGCAATTGCAAAGTTGCAAGTGACATTAATAAACTTGATGGTCAACTTTTGGGAGGCTTGAAAATTTGAGTGAAATAGAGTAGTGTAAATCAGTTTTGTATCCTTGATGTTGATGACTGACTAATTATTATAACAAGATCTTTGGAGACCTAGATTGGAATTTTCTTACTTATGGATGAATTTTCATGGCTTCGAACTTCCAAGTTGAAAGTTATGCTACATAAATACGATTTTTACATTAATGCCACATTGCCACTATTTGTAGCTTTGTAACATTCAATTAGATTTGCTGCTAGAACCTTTTTACGCCATGTTGGAGGACTGTCCTAAATCCTGATTTACCCCACTGTCCCCACCCATCCCATATGAATAACCCCATATGACAGTAAGTCAGAAACATTACTGGACAAGGGTTAGAGATGCACTAAACTAATGCACTAATTTTTCGATAAGTGAATGTTTTTTCACTGAGCAAGGTAAATGTAATCAAAATTCTTTGTTGTTAATCAACTTTTTTGTTAACTGGAACCTTTGCTAACTGAGGTTCTATTGTAAATGCATTTTTAAGGGTGTCTCTACTCTCTAATTACCCCGTAACCCCGGGGAGGTGTCCCGAGTAGCCCCGCCGTGCGGAAATGGCTGCCATTTTTTTAATGAGATAGGCAAATTCTGTCAATTACGTTTTCAATCTGACACCTGTGTGCAACTTTTATGTAAATAAAATTTTTTAATACGGTGAATATTTTTTTTGCTCCAGACCTTAGCAGAGGTACTTTTCCAAAATTGCACTTTTCACACTTTTTTTCAGCGATTTTTTAGAGATAGTAAATGTTTGATTTCATGACTAGCTTTATACATAATAGATAGTAAAAATGTTGAAGTTTATGCTACTATTTTTAGTTTTGCAATATTTTGATTAGTTTAGCTGCTACAACATTTTTACAAAATGTCGGAGGCGCGTCCCGATTTACCCCGCCCGTCCCTTTTTACCCCGTTTGACAGTATATACTATATATTATGGTGGTAAACTTTAATCTATCATCTTCATAATTAGATTTTTACAATCATTGGTCAATGATTGAGTGTGGACTGACCAGGACTGTGATAGCCACTTGTTCAAGACCTAGAATCAAGGTTTGAATTGTGACTTTTGCATGAAATCTGTCTAGTCATTAGTGACCAGATGTGTCATGCTGAATAACCAGCTGTTTTTATTTTTAAAATATGAAATTTTTTTCCTCCCACAGACTCAGACTAAAACAATTCTAATCCTATAATTTTAAATCTGATTTTTTATTAATGTCAGTAGAAATTTTTCTAATGGCAAAATTTATATATTTTCAGAATTTACTTAGTGTTAAGAGGAAAGCTCATCATGAAATTAAGTATTTTCTTTGTTTTTAGTTGTTGATGTTTAATTTCTTGACTAAGCATGGCAGGAGGAAGACAGTTGGATGAAAAAAGCTCTGCTGTCTCCATTCGCCTATTAGATGATGAACTTGATAAAGAAAAGTAAGTTGTTTCTTGTTAAAGTTATTTTGATAGAATGTGATAAATAAATTGAAAACTTGAAGAAAAATTTCCTTAAAATTTCTGGAAACCAGATATATTTATATCATTTAAATATATCTAAATATTTATAACATAAAAAATGATTCTTCAATTTTTAAACATGAGTAAAATTTGAGTTTTATTTTCCATGCAATATATATGTTTGAATGTTTTTTTTTTTTTATTTGCATAGAGATAAGCAAGCAATGAGAGTGAGCAATGTTGTTTTAGAGCAATGAGATAAGGCACAACAGTAATAACAGGATCCAGGATAACATAATTCTGAAGTTGTAGAGATTATTGAATCCTGGCAATAATACGCTAATAGTGCCTAATACTTTGGGACACTTGTTGTAATTGCCCATCCTGGTAGTGGCGACTAGGTAAGGGAGGGGGTGATACGTCAGTTTTTCTGGGCACTTTGATGCCACTGGTATTTCCACGAACATCATTGGCTCGCTGACCCGTCGGAACCATTTTTGCATTACACAACACCCTGGACAAGCCAGGTACTCATTTATCAACCAGAGTTGGATGAATGGCTGAGTTGACCATGAGCTGAGCTTCCCAGAATAACACGTCCTCAGTAAGACTCAAACCCAGGAGCTGGGTGCGAGAGACAAAGTCTCTCACCACTGCACCACCGCAGCTATCCACCCTATCCTAAATGTTGATGGTCTTTGGGACACTTGCCCAATCTTGGCAACATTTGACCAATCTTGGCAACATTTGACCAATCTTGGCAACATTTGTATTTCACATAAAAGAGATTGAAACATTGCATCCAAAATAAGTTTTGACTTTTTATCATACTTAATATTAAAGTGAATGTGCATATATACTTCATGTATATGTATACTACCTATATACTTCATATAGGTACATCAGAAAAAGACTTGTGATTGAAGGATTTAGAATTGCTTCTATTTTTTAGATTCATGTTTTTTTAAGATGGGTTAGTATGAATTTTAAGCAGTTGCAGGGTATAAAGTTCCATCAAATGTTTTGCAGGGAGAATGTACCCAGCTTGCTTGGTCTTCCTCTAGTACAGTTCTCCACAACTGTACGCTTCATAATCTGCTCGGTGGCCATCTTTATCTTCTATGTTCTTTATGGCTGCATGCTGGTGAGTGTTCTACTGCAAGTGCAATGAACCTTACATCAGAACTGATTGATCAAATTTTGACTGCATTTGCTCTGTAAACTCCACCAAGACTGTTTAGCTATTCAGCTGGCAGTTCCATGTGACATTATTGAGTTCATTGGGTAGTATAAGTTGAAGTGCTCTCTGGATTTTAGTGCTAACATTTTGAATAAATTGCTCTTTGGCTTTTGAAAATTTATATTGTGATAGCCAAAGTAAGGGCATTATCCTCACTATGAGGGGAATACCGTAATTAATATATACCGTAATATGCAAATGAGTGCCTTATTAACAGTACAGCTCAACCACTTATTTAGCATTCCTCAACAGTTATGTATATAAACCATCAATTAATGCTGATGTGGCAAAACCAGCTATGGAATAACACGAGAATAAAATTTGAATTTCTGGGAGGATACGGTAACATAAAAATTATTTTTAGTGCTTATTTTTAGATACTGTTCATCAAGCTGTGATCCACTACTATCGCATTCCCTCTTAGCAGTAGTACCACATGGTAAAACAAAATTGCCACATAATTTGACATAAATAAAATTTTCTCAGTTGAAAAGGGCTGGTGAAAACTTATTTGCCATAGGTACATTCAAGCCCTCTACAAGTCCAGGCTTCACAGTTGCCTACTTTCAAGATCAGTTCTAACACAGCAGTCTTGCATTGATGGTCTTTAAGGCTATGGTGAAAAAATACAGTGTCCCAATATTGTGTAACCTGTAAAGCAAGCTTTTATTATCATCAAATCAATTTGTTTTTAGATTTTGGGAGACAAAATGTAAGATAAAAGATATGTAAGTAAATTTTAATAAAGCTCAGATTATTCAAAAGAATCTCGCATGTTATGCTGAATTTTGAACCATGCTATGTATGGTGATACCTACCATACCATATGGTTACCACTAGGATGATTTGAGGACAAATATCATCACATAGGTAGGTACCTATATTATGCAGGTCTCATTCTCTGAATGAAATCTTAGGCAAGCTTAGGTATATTATACAACAATGGAAATGACATATTTTCTGAAGATCAACTCTAGCTATGTTACTTGCATTAGCACATAATTTTAAAAGCCAATACCTCCCTATAAATTTTGTTCTTAATTCACACATTATTGCTTGATTTCTACATGGTGTTCAATTTGGATTTTTCACTCATTCATCTATGTGTTCCAAATTTTTGGTGGATGTTGCTCCACTAATCTAGTTGCTGAAAAGAGCTTTTCCCCTCAATGCAAATAAATACTTTGAAGTAATGGAACATTTGTCTACAGGAGTTTGTGTTCCGTGTGGAGGGTTTACGAGACCACGGATGGTTTGTGACGCTCATACAATTTGGGTACTACAGCTTATTTGCTGTCATGCAGCTTGCTGTGTCTAGGCAATCTGTAAGGACTAAGTGAGTAATCAAATATCACTTATATGTATGAAAAATCTGCTTGAATATAATCATGGATAAGATTATTTATTGATTTGCTATCTTCATTTATTGTTTATAGGTATTATGCTTTAATTTAACTTGAAAATTATTTTGACTTTCTCAGATTTTTTTCCTAAAATAGAACTTGTTCTTTGCTCACATTCCATCCAAGATTCAATGAAAAAATTGAACAGATGAAATTAAAAATTGACGGATTGCAATTTTTTCATTGAAGATCTAATATGACTGAGGTGTTTATTTTTACACTTTTTCATGATTTGTGATTAAGAATTGATTTATTTAATATGACCAGTTTATTTGCTGAACTGGTGTTATATTGTTAACAAATATCATCTTACAGCATATGCTCCAAAAACATTTAATTATAATGAATATTATTTCACCTGATGAGTGAATATCATCAAAAGCATTTTATTGATTCCAAAAATTGTTTTACATGCTAAGCATCAGAAACATTTTCTTGGTAACAATTGTTGTTTAACATGATGGGTGGATGTACTTCATGAGCATTCCATTGAGATAATAAAGTGACAATTTTTCACTTCAGTGTGCCTTTGAACACTTACTTCACAATTGCACTCATCACTGTTGGCACGATGGGCTTCTCGAATACAAGTATGGGCTACCTCAACTATCCTACCCAAGTGAGTGATATGAATGTATTATAGGAAAAAAATTAGATTATTTATCGAGTTAGATTTTGATTAGAATATAGTTTCATACTATATCGTTATGCAGTAATTGTTCAGTTCTGATTATAAATTCATCAGTGTTACCGTATTTTATCTGTAGCTTGATCAATTATGTACGTATGTGGAAAAATTATTTTTATGCAAGTAAATTCCGATATCTTTATTGGATGGTCAATTTTATTGTAGTTATTCTTCTACATGTACATGTATACAAAATATGTAATCGAATCGTTTTTCAGGTGATATTCAAATCATGCAAGCTCATCCCCGTCATGATCGGCTCCATCATCATCCTACGGAAAACGTTAGTTATGCATCAGTCAAAACTGTCTTTGTAATCAAATAATTGAACCAGAATTGGTATGAATTGTATGCCAAGTACATTTAAGTTCACAACTTTTAGTCTATTCATACTTATAAAGAAGCGAGTGAACCAGGCCAACACAATTCCGAGTATCAACACGGGTACCTATATGTGTAGTTTATCATTTGTTCTTCTTTACTCTTCATCGATCTATGACATCTGTAACTTGATTCAGAAATATGTCAGTAGTCCGTACTAGTCATCGCTTTTTCTTGCCGAGAACAATGCAATGTAGCAGATAAAGATTACCAAAGATAATTTTTATCTGAAGACAAAGCATTGTCTTTGTCCCAGCATTGTCTGAAGATAAATAAATAAAGCATGTGCATTACAGACTTCTCTTGTATAATTTAATATCATTCATTCAATCTTCATCTAAACCTCATAAATGTAATTAATCTTATATATGAGCAGGTATAGCTTTGCCCAGGTACTGAGCTGCCTCATGATGTGTGCTGGGCTGGTGTGGTTCACTCTCGCCGACTCTCAGATACAGCCTGACTTTAACTTGCAGGGTGAGCACTCACTCAAGAGACGTCCCACAAATATAATATATCTTACAAACTTAATGTATTTTCATGCTTTTTGTGTAGGTACTTGGTTTGGTGGCATTTGTTTTTTTTTCATGTTTTGTCAACGGAATTGATGGCTTAGTGCTCGTTTGATTCTAACATCAAATGTATATTTCATATATATATTTTTCTGAATTTAGATTGTGAAAATGCAAACCCTTTAGGTAGGAAATTAACTTTGTTAGTTTTTAACTTTGAAATAGGTAGCTTTAATCTGTTATGGCTTCATTTCATTGCGAAGATGCCTTTATAGCGCATTTTCTCATTTATGGAAAAAATGCACTATTGTGATCGCCATGTCCGACCATCCGTCCGTCAGTCCGTCCGTCCGTGACTTCACGTTTTCGTCGACAAGAAAATGCGCCCTCTCACTCGCTGCAGTGAGTACTGAGTTATATATTTTTTATTACATTTGTACTGTGAAGACTTATTCTATGAATGAATGCATTTGATATGCCGTGTTTGACAGGCGTTGTGCTGGTGAGCATGTCGCTCTGCTGCGACGCCATCATCGGCAACGTCCAGGAAGCGGCGCTCAAGAACAGCCACGAGCCCAGCGCCCGCGTCGTCCTCTACTCTTACGGCCTCGGCTTCCTCTGCATCCTGGCCTTCCTGCTGCTCACCGGCAGCCTCCTGCCTGGAGCATTCTTCTTCCTAGAGGCACTTATCTGTTATTCTCTCCCCTTGTATCTTTTCGTTGTTGCTCTCGTCCTCTACTACTCCTATGGTGTCCGCATCCTCTTCAACCTTGCCTTCCATCACTGGTACCCTTTTGACAGGAGCAATCTTCTTCCTAGAGGCACTTATCTGTTATTATCTCCCCTTGTATTATTCTTTGTTCCTCTTGTCTTATACTACTCCTACGGCATCCGCATCCTCTTCAACCTTGCCTTCCGTCACTTGCACTCTATTGCCAGGAAGTGTATTTTTCCTAGAGGCGTGGATTCTTTTTCATTTCTTGTGAACCTTCTAATCCTAATGTTCTCTATACCGGTATTTGTTATTTTCTTGCGACTGATCTCATTTGATTGTTTTCATTTTAATATGAGAATTAATTTTTGTTTTTGTCTATACCGTCATGTTAAAGTTTTAATGGTCTGATACTTATCACAGCTTCGGCTTATAATCGTCTTCCTTCTCGTGGACCATCTTGTTTATAATTTTATCCTCAATGGTCGAAAATAATGAAGTCCCGATGTCATATAGCATGCATTCATTGTCCCAGCACTGGTGGGAGCTGATGCCAGCAATCCTGGTGCTGTCAGCCTCCGGGTTCTGTGGGGTGCAGGCAGTGCTGGCACTCGTGACCCTGCACGGAGCGCTGGTCGCTGTCACTGTCACCACTGCCAGGAAAGCGATCTCTATCCTCCTGTCCTTCCTGCTCTTCACTAAGCCCTTCACCATCCAGTGAGTGTCTTCTATGCTCGGTCTGTCTGCTCTTCGCTAAGATTAATTGTAATAAATCTGAATATTTTTTTTATATAATTGCATGTTACCTATATATATTTGTATCATTTCTTGATATCTGCTGGTGAGATTCAGGCGCCGGACGTATAAGTCGCCTTTAGTAGGACGAATGGTAAGATATATATAATTAAAATCCCTTTTATTTTTGGTTCAAAATGGATCATTCCCTCCAATATGGATCTTTTCATTCCATCGAGAATATAACATTTTTAAAACATTGCTTTAGTTCTCTAAAGCTTCATTTATAATTTTTTTATTCTTATTATTAAGTTCTTTTGGTTTGATATAGTTTATTATTTACAGGTACGTCTGGGGAGGCACTTTAGTAGTCTTAGGAATATACCTGAATTTGCTGGCTAAACAGCAGCACGCACTGGTTACATTACTCAACAACTGGTACGCGAGAGCGGCGTCGACCGTCCGCCGCTGCTGCGAGCGGTGCACTGACGCGCTGCTGACCAATAAGCAGCGCGGGCCTGCGGGCGTCTTGCTGCGCGCCTGGTCGAACGCGTCCACGACATGTCGTAGGTGCGCCAAGGTTAAACCGCCTCATCAGTTTAGGTTCGACGTTTAAACAATTATTTTATGGGTAATTATATGCTGAATTAAGCTTATTTCATGAATTATATCTATAACTAAATAGAGTTCCAAGGTTTACCGACCGCCTCATCAGTTTAGGTTCGACGTTTAGGAAATTTGTTTATAGATATTAAAATGCTGAATTGAGCTCATTTCATGAATTATATCTATTACTAAATAGAGTTCCAAGGATTTACCAAAATAAGGTATTTGCATTAAATAAATTCAATTAGTTCTTCCTGAAACCTGCGCCCCTAAGTTGTACTTGTCGTCCGAAACAGATGCATTAAAAAATATGCGTTTAAAAATTTACTTTTTAAGGACATCACTTCTAAAGAGGCCAGTGTCTCCGATGTTACACATGTATAATGAATTTCTTATTTTATTTATAAATATTTGAAACAAAATTATTTTAAAAAATTTTGTTTAATATCTAATTTTTTTATAAATTTTTAACATTATTTTTTTATGTCAATTGATTCATGTATTGTCTCCGAATTTACGCAAGTGTGCAAAATTTCAGATTGATTTGACAATTTAAAGTGTTAAATATCAATTACAAGACTTGTAGCAGACAAACAAACAAATAACTATAAGTGCAGTTCAAGAGAAGTGTTGTAAAAATGAACAACATTTTTTCGACCGTAGACTATTAGCACTCATCGAAAGATAACTGACAGGACAGCAGCAAGTGTGTGTTATGAAGTTGTAAAAGACTAGCCGTTAAGCTACCGTTATTAAGTCATGGATGTTAATGAAGCTTTTTTTGTTGGTAATTACCCTCAGTTAATATTCAGTTTGGATTTACTCAGACAACGTAGAGAATACTAGAATTTCTCAGTGATGCAGACATTTTAATGCAATGTTTACGTACGTGAATGACACTTGTAAGAACTGACTAATATACAGCAATTGATAGCACAAGTTGCTTGCATTAACCAATGGCTGTAACTGGCAGACCATAGTAGTGTTTGCTCCCAGGTAACCCTGGATGTTCAGGTTTATTGCTCTTAAGTTTTGGGTTCCTCAACTGATGCGAGAAGAGCTCGTTGTAGTGTCGAACATTTTGTTTAGTATTTTAGTTGGATTAGCCAGTTACTATTTTATTGTTGTTATTGTTATGGTTGTCATTAACCTAAACTATGAATTATTAATGCTGATTTTCGATGGTCGCAATCACGAGTAGGTATGATATTTGAGACCTGCTGCACAATCAAGGGGAGGAAACTGACTTTTATGTATTGCATTGTATATTTTTTCAGTGCCTATTTTATTCTATCATACCATGGTTCGATTATGGATTATATCCTTTTGTTCCATGCTTGTCACTTCAGACAGTTGAGCTCTGAAGCTCAGCTGAAGAAATTTGTATACGGTATGAGATCGTGTCTGTGGCATGATTTTTATTGCTTATTTATCATCTACTGTCATTCCCAGTAATTTCATCTATTTTCCGTCCTCAATGCTATTCCTACCTACCTGCCTGGTAACTAGAGTTTTACGTTCTTAGACAGAGGGCTAAATAACCAAGGTATCTAGTCAGTTAGGAATTATTATTATTCTTCTACTTCATCTATTCATTCCTCGAAAATTTAATCTTTCATAGGTTAAGAGTTTTTATTAACTCAGTAGGTGCTCACTGCAGTGAGTGACAGAGAGCGCATTTTCTCGTCGACGAAAACATGAAGTCACGGACGGACAGACGGACATGGCGAGCACAATAGTGCATTTTTTTCATAAATGAGAAAATGCGCTAAAAATGTTCCCGTGTTTATGTCTGCAAGCATCTATTTGACGACGGACCTCAATTTCCTTGTAAAATAATTAACTTGTACAGACAATTTCCTTGAACATGCAATTTCACTGTATGTATCTTGCTCAACTTATGACTGGACGCCTCTCTTGTCAAGTACTTGATTTTTATTTCTGAATGCTGTTGTAGTTGAATATGAAATTTAGAAGAAAATATTCCCGGCTAGACTTCCATGAGTTTGCAGTTCGCAGCATGTACACATTTTTATCATTATTATTAGATAATTCCTAACCTGGCGTATTCGCCGGTACATATCATGTATGTAGAACCTGACTTCCCTCGTTCCTATGCTTGCAAGCGTACGATATTATATTTTGTACGTGAATAATTTTCCCCGTTCGAGTCATATCAAGCAGAGCAGTAGGGGATTTAATCATAAAACTCATAACATAACAACATAACTTAAAACACAAAATCATAAACTTAACCATCTGCAAAATAGGGAGGCTGGAACTGACCTGGTCGTGTGAGACCAAGACTGGGAAACGACCTGCCTATAGTTTGTGTAAGTGAAATATTATTATTATTATTATTATTATTGTGTGGTCATGATCTCTACTTTCCTCGCACCGTGTGGCCACCGCTACATCTACGGCACTTTTCCCCTCTTGAGGCTTCACTTTCTTTGTATGATTTGTAAAATATAGATTCAAATATTGATTTTCCAGTACCAGTAGAATGTAAGTCGTGATTTATTGAACTTCTTAATTTCAACGGCATTTGTTTGCTTGTGTAGTTTAAGTATGTGATTCATTCACCTTTTATATTTCTGACTGGCACGGGTGATTAAATTTTTTCCATTCCGAACAACAATGTTCGCATTTTAACTTGTTCTACTTTAAATACCGAAGCTTGAGCATATTTCTGTAACGTTAGACCACATTTTCAAATTTCCCTCTAGTATTCGCTGCTTGTTGTCAATTCTTTTTCTCTATGTGTGTACCAAAAGGGCATGTACGTGGATATTTCCAACACTTCCTTCTCAACTGTTATGAATTGCCTCCGTTTTTGATCAATTAGGTCATAGCATTATTATCCAGTGAATCGAGCTAAGGCAGAATGTTGCTTGAACTTGCCGTGTGTGTATAAGCTTTGTTTATACCCACCAAATTTTGTGCGGCTAGTAATAGTTTTTTTTTCATTTTTTTTGCCTCTGGATGGTGTGAGTCTAGCCTGTTCTTCAGTATCGAACGTTGCCTAATATGTTAAGCGTATTCTGATGAGCGTAATGATGACAGTTTGTTGATCTATAGCGCCGTCCTCGCCAGCGTCACTGCGTCCGACTCTACCACGAACGCTGCCGGCCGTACTTGCAGCAATAACCGTCCTGACTTCACGGCCGTCTCTCGTATCTGCTCTGTACGCTTTGTTACAGCCGAGTGGTTTATCGCTCCTTAAGATGTGATCGTGGCTGGCGGTGCCGTAGAATCAATGATTCAATTCGTGATTTATTCATCAAGATGTTATTGTTGAAGAGAGGTTAACTCTTCAGATATACTCACCCACTGTGGAGGCATGGTTGCTGTAATGACAACGATTAAACTTTGTTAGTGCTTTAAATAATTAAGGCAGTCTTCTTTCAATTCTAAACTGTTTTTATTTATCGGTAATTTGAGTTGCACAAAATTCTTGACTTTTGTGCATTTTGTTTTCATGTCTAGCCGAGGACTTGCACCTTGGGCTTTGCTTCCTGATATTAAACTGTTGATATTGCTGATTGGATTCAACTTTCCCCTTGTATTCTTACTTGCATTGCGAGACTTCCGACAGATTTTGTGTGTACGGTGTCGCATCACAAGCCATTGATTGAACGTCTCTTCCTACGCGTGTCATGATTCTGTCGCCAGGAAGGTCTCGCTAGTATCTCACTAACGGGATAAACTTTCATCAAGGCATTGGAGTGAAGAGCGTTCAGTTTGTCTGCTTATCCGCCTGATCACCGCTTAAATCCCAGCGCTGCCTAATAATGAAAATTGCAATCCAGTTGCTGCATTCCATAAGAGTGCCATGCACTTGAAAATATCCTACGTCACGTGAGACTAAATTTTGAGGTAGAATAGTAATATGGATGCTAATAAATGGACGGCTGTGTCAGTAAATAATGCTGTATATTATGTGGAAATGTGTGAAATCTGAAAGTTCAGCCAACATTGGATGAGCGAATTTTGAATTTTTTTTATTTTTTTCTGTAGAATGTATAACTCTTTTTAACTTTTCTATAGGTACTCTTGATTGGTGCAGCAATTCATCTCGTGAAAGATTTTTCCTCACTAGGCGATGTTAATCAAATTTTCAAACTCGTATACTAGTGTTACTAGTGTTCTAAACACAATGTCACAATGATCCCATTTAAAATTTTATTGAATTTAATTGTCTGCCAATAATTTTTGTCTACTTAGAAATAAACATATGAACGTGCTAACCATTTTCTACGTATTAACCACCACGGGTGCTATTCGTATTTTAAAATCTGTGAACTAGAGTTACCTTCAACAGAATCAATTTTCCGTAATTAAGGTAAACAGGGTTCACTGGACTAGGAGAAATGAAGCGAGTTATTCTGAAGCATCCAAATCAATCAATTACCCGGTAGTTAATGTCCAAGAAATTTCCGGTAAAGATAATTCCATTTGCCATATAGAAGATATTTCTTAAGAATTAATGTATCTAATATACACTTTTTCAGGGTTAATTCAAGACAGGCTGACACAAAACGGCCTAATGTGAATGGCGACCCTTTCATAAGTCGCGCGTGTTACAGTATTTAAATAAAAATATGATATTCTCAGGCCAGCGACGCTCTGTTGACGCGTCCTTTTGTGCAAGACAACTGAGTTGTTACCTCTTACTGATTTTTATTGTGTTTTCAATAAATTATTTATTACTTGACATTTTTCTCATTTTTCCTATCGCTAAAAAATTTTATGGAATAAATTCTTTATTACTTGACATTTTTCTCATTTTTCCTATCGCTAAAAATTTTTATTTCGCAAGCGTTTGCGTAATGGAGTTGCTTAAGAAGTGTTAACGACTACGAAAAATTGCCGTTGTGTTCACAAAATCATGAGTTACGTTCAATTCAACGAGATATTTTCTAGGAGTTGATTCAAGTTGTTAGAGAATTTATGATTCCATGAACGGATAATCGCAATTATTGGTACCCTTGATTGTAAAGTTTTATTTGCCTAAGACCTTTGTCGATGCTGATCTATTTATGAACTGTTGAAGTAAGACAGTAGAGACGTGTGTCGTCAGGTATTATTTTACTCGTATTTATCAACTGCATGAATAGGTAGGTATTCGTTTTATGATTTTATCGGTGGATGTATTGAGGGATGACTTGCTGCCTGTGAGGTTTTATGTGGAAACTAAGTTTGGTTAACAATCGACTATCGGGAGAATTCGATCTTTCCGCGCGTATAATAGCTGTTATCTTTTCGATTGCTGCCATTGAAAAAATATATATTCATAAACTTCGGAATCTTGAGTCTCGGGGTGTATAGGAAAAAACGTATGAGGTCATTGATGTCAATTCATTGAAAGTATACATGTTGACTTTCGCAAAGTACTCGCAATTTTAAGGTAAGGCGCACAATAGAACGGCAGTTCTATCACTAACAATTATCACTACGTATGTGCAGGATAAACGTCTAACCTCTAAGCAATAAAAGCTCAATTGTGCTTGAACTTGGAATTAACGCTGATATCAAGCCGGAAATTTTTAGTTTACTTTTTCTGCATAGCGTAATGAACTATTGTGATGCATTGTCGTTTTTTCGACTATGTCATCATAATCCTAGCGTGATTAACAGTCCCTGGATTTGGTGTCATCCAAGTCATTATAGCTTCATGAAAGAAAGGTGCACATTGCAGGTGGTAACAACGGGGCAATCGTGCAATTTGCGGCATGATTAAAGTTCATCCACTTACCATGCCAAGGTTGGTTGCATAATGGAGTTTAAACTAAATGAATCAGATACGTTGATGGTCATGAGCTTCAATGCTACCGTTACCTGAAGGATATTTATTCCTGTTCCTGATTCCAGGGGTTCAGACGGAAGAAAATATTTACAGGTTCGCTCGTAGAAAATCATTTTAGAAAATTTGCATCGCAAATGCATAGGTGCCCTAATTAGTTTTTGTTTTCGTTAACTCTCTGGCGTATTATTTTTCAAAAGCTTTAGACGATTGAACTCGTATCTCTGGTGTAGCGTAACTTTCTATAGTAGATCAGACGTGACCGTGACTTCGTGTTAGTTTCCATCTATTAACGCAAAAAGAGGATCTCACAAAGAAGGTAAAACGAGGTTTTGAACAGAGACTAAATGTAATGGAACTAAAAAATGATGATTAATACGTAAGTACGCGTATGAGTATTTAACCCACTTTTAAAAACCATTTAGTTGAACTGCCTGCTATACACTCACGAGCACTAATGTTATAGAGTCAATCTCTCTATGTAGATGGAGGAGTGGGTGCATGTGCAGAAGCACTTAAGTTGCAATTAATAAAACGTCCCGCATCACTTGTGTACAGCAAGCGTCCCACATCGTAAATTGTACAGCAAGAATCGCGTATTATAAATTGTACTGCAAGCGTTTTTCATCATAACTGAACTGCAAGTATCCGCATCACAAATTGCACTACAAGCAACAAGCATCATCAATTGGATCGCAATGTATCTGCACTTCACAAATAATAAAGATTGCAAAATATATATATTTTCCCTTGCTCATTTTCTCTATCGATCGGAAAATCTGCATTTAAATGTATTTATCGCGTTAGCCCGCCAGAGTCCTACATTCAAATTCAGCTTCACCTTCGTGATTAATAATTTTTTTAATTTCCTTAAAACTTCTTCATCTCTCAATTAATTGGTCAAGGCTATATTGACGATGAATAATTACTATACGAACTTTCTATTCGTAGTCATAATTTTTTATGCCATTTTAATTTTAATTTTTTGTTAATACTGACAATCCACATTATTCGTGCCTTTAATTTATTTACTAAAGCAGATTAGATTCATTCATTCATAGATCACTTCTGATTATTAACTAAAAAAGTTATATATCTTTACTCATGTACACGAGGGCAGAAATCGCGCAGTTCTTCATGTTTCATTTAAGCTTAATTGGAAAAATCAACAATACTCGAGGCATCCCCAGAGTGGAACTATACAACTGTACATACAATCATGCAGGCTGTATTATAGGGCCACTCATCTGCACAGTTGTCCTGCCATTAACCTGGCTTATAAAAGCTTCTCGCCGCTGCCATCTGGCCACTGTTGGGTCACACTGCCACGGTGACACCGACGCCTCTCCTCGTTCCATAATAATTCTCACTTTCGATTTCACGCTGCGGTTCGATCGCGTGTGTTTAGATTCGAGGACTCACAGTGGGTGTGATTGTACCAATAATTTAGTTGAATTTCGTGTCCATAAATGCAGAACCGCGTGTCGAACCGTGTAAAACCGAATCGTGTGTCCATATTCGATATTTGGTTTCAAAATTACAAAAATGAGTTTAATTCAAGCCTTCATGTGATGACTATTATTAAATGCACTGACCTGAATCGTCAAGAAGATTGTGCATTGATTTTATTAAGAAGACGGAAATTTCTAGCTTTTGACACATTTCTAGGTCTCTTTTTCAGCCATGCTTATTTTCCTGTAAGATTTGGTCGAAGTTTTTAGATTCATTCAAGTAACTGTCATCATATGATGAATACTCGAATTACGAGAAATACGACGAATATGCGTATTAGTCTTCTTAAATTTGGACTGAAAGGACAGGCTCATTGTTATTCATTTACAGAGACTACGAATAATCCATTCTGTATTGTGACATTGCGATCCAACATTCCAATCTACTAGTGGATGACCGTGCGGTCTAATATTCCATTCATGTGAAACATGACCGTGTGGTATAATGATCGTTATTTATCTTTTTTATCAGATTTCAGGTTATCATTTAATCACGAGGTTGTCGTCGTTGTGATTGGTTTTCTTGTGGACCGCGCTCTCTGCCACGGAGATGTTGGTGGTGACAGCAAAACTCTTGCTTAATCTGGTGTTCGTATTCCTCCTCATCCACGGAACACAGGTTTGTTATGCACGCATATTTCCATATCCTCATTATCCCAGTCTTCACTAAAATCACACTCGACCATAGTTAAATCTCAAAAAAAACCTTTGCATTCGATATTTTACGTAATTTAATCATTTAATTTGTGAAAGATGATATCTAAGCCTCATGTGTTATCGGAAAGTACTTCCCAGAACAAAAATATTTCCATGTACTCATTATCCCAATTCTCATTAAAATCACATTCGACCATAGTTAAATCACCAAAAAATTTTGCATTCGATATTTTACGTAATTTAATCATTTAATTTGTGAAAGATGATATCTAAGCCTCATGTGTTATCGGAAAGTACTTCCCAGAACAAAAATAATTTATCACAGAATCTATCATTCAATATCAACAGGCGCATGTATTTAAAAATTCAACGGAAATAATTTCCAAAAACTTTTCGATGAATGTGACAATATTACATAATTCCAGATTTATCGTTTCATTAAGACATCTCGGTGACACCGAACTAATTGTTATCAACATTTCATTGCGCAGGGCGTGCCTGTAGAAGACATCTCCGTAACATCAAGCTAATTGTTATCAATATTTCATTGCGCAGGGCGTGCCTGTAGAGGATGGCCCTGCCCTCGTAAGAGGCCCAAGCCTCCGCAAGATCGTCACTTTTGACTGGGACCTCTGGCCTCTGTGGTACGGAGAGCGTTACGTCGCCTACAGGTTCGGCGACGGTCAGTTAACCTAACTTTAGATTTGGTTATATCTTGCAGGTTGATTGTGACCGATTCCTGTTATTTTTATTATTATCAGAATCAATAAAATAATTTCTAGTAAGTTGTCACAAATTCTAATACATAGACTTAATGGTTTCACTATCATTACGGCCATAGGCTTCTCAGTGATCGATTCCTTTTACTAAATGGTATCAATAATTCACCTTGGGTGACAGTACCTCGTATCCACAATTTGAACTGAAGTTGTCATGGGTGAATGAAATTTATTGCATGTAAAGAACCAATTATATTTTACGTAATTAAAAATGAAAAATACAGCACTGAGAATAAATATAAATAATAGAAGAGAATATTTATTAGAAAATCTTGTCATTTTCTGTTATAAAATGAAGTAGGACGATGTTGATAGTTTTTTGCTTCCATTGTTTAATTAATATTTAAATTTAAAATTACTAATTGCCATTTTATAGTTTGAATTACCTTTTATATTCAGCGTTTTGAAAGTGCTTTCTTTCATGCAGATATGGAGATGTGCAATAACCTTGTCATGTCATTACGCTTTAAATGATAAATTGACATGGTTAAATTCTTAGTTTAAATCAATACATGTCAATAAAAAGTTCTTTATGCGCTACTTAATCATACATTCAGGAATCGTGTCTAGAGGATTACGTCTTCGTATTTCGACGACTCATAAGGTCGGCAAATTTCCTTGCAATTTCAGCTGCTGATGTAAAAATGAATTATTTCATCCTCAGCCATCGTGGACCAAAGTGCCGTCGCTGCGGGCATCGCTGAGTTCGAGCAGAACACGTGCCTCATGTGAGTCTGTCAGACGTAATTGAATAATTCATAAAATAGAAATTTATTATTCCCTGTTGATTCAAAATTATATCATTCCTTTCTTTAGAGTTATACGTGATATGATGAGACGAACGTGCTTATTCGTAATACTTTAATTGAAAGCCTTCACACAGTTTTGTAATCCGTACGCACCCAAAACTTGTTAATCCAGAAGCTGATTAAAGCCATTTTGATTAATATATATTGATAATTTTGAACCATTCCTATATTTTAATTTCAATAATATTTTTCAGACGTCACTATTTCATAATTCTTCCTAAAATCATGAGAACCATACTGTCAATTTTTACCTAAATTTCGATTGTCAGATGGAAAATACCCAAGCAAATATCCATGAGTTTTCAATGACCAATTATATATACTGTATATAGTTAGATCTTCACACCGATGTTCCCTAATCTTAAAACCTCATCACTAAAGTTTCACCACAGACCTAGACCCTAAACATCATTATTAATATTTACCTCTATGAAATTCTGTATTGTATCGAGCACTCGTTGTACAAAGAGAAAGAAATAATAAAAGCATTCTTTTGAACATTTTTTGAACTAGACTATAAAGATATAGAGGAAAAATACGAGAACGATTACCAGAAGTTACTACGAGCCTCATTAATTACCGTTGACTTGCAGTTAATGTAACTTTCGTCCCGTTTCGGCTGCAGATTCGAGAAGGTGAACCCCGCGCACTTCGGTCCCCACATCGTCATCAAGAACCACAACTCTGTGTGCTCGTCCTTCATAGGACGCAAGTACACCTATCTGCTGGGGCAGGATATGTTCCTCACCAAGCAGTGCGCGAGTGATGTGCGTGAATTATTTAGCAGTATATCATTCAATCCTACAGTATATCATTCAATCCTGAAAGGATTTCATTACAGTATATCATTCAATCCTGAAATAATTTTTAATAATTTAACGCTTTGAGTTGAACGCAAAACAATTTCTTGTAGAGAAAAGTGTTCATACGAGATCTCATTCGAGGCTTGACCTCAAACGCAAAATAATTACGTTTTACAGGTAGCCTGTGAATTTTTAATTGGATGACAGTGGAGAGTTTGGTGCTTTGATATTTTGATGTAGTAATATACAAGTATTTTTTATTCAACTGGCAAAGTTCAGTCGTATTTATGGATGGACTGATTGCAAGTGCCAGTCCATTGCGCACGACGAAGTCGTTGCAGGTTTATAGATATTTGAATTGCATATGTTTTCAGTAAATTCCAGTTGGCACTCGTGGTGGCAAGACAATGTTTCGGGAGATAATGAAAATTTTCCTCAAAGTTTGCCTTTGATTTCTGCTGTTTTATTACCATTCATCCATTTCACGCAATGAGGGATCTCTCTGCTCCACATATTTATTATTTTTTATCTATAAATGCCCCAAGTTGCATTGCATATTCATATGTAATGACGAGTCATGTCATTCGCTAAACGAATATCACAAATGATAAATATGGATCATAACGTAAGGCCATTAATTGCACTACTCTCATTATCATGCCGCGACATAATCAACAGTAAATATTATGTGCCCATATATAATATCATTTCAAATGAAGCACTTTTTGTAGTGAAAATCATTATTTTAATCGCAAAACTCAACATTGACGCTGTCTTCATAAAATAGCAAATTTTTACTCTACATTCATGTATGAAATGATAAGAACGCGATGGATTTGGCAGAATTTTTCATCAAATGGGGCCACGACTCTGCGCGCCGTGGATCCCTTCAGCCAGGGCCTCCTGTTCACCCCCAAGACTGGGCTTAGCTTCATGGACAAAGCCATCATCAACAAGGGGTACAAGTGCATCGGTGAGTCAGCTCACCATCATGACGATGTTGGTGTCTCACCATCATGACGATGTTGGTTGCGATGTAAGACGACCGCACCAGCAGCTGGCACACGCCGATCAAGGGAGCGATGAGCTGTTGCAGGGGATTATCCTCGTCATCATAGTCATCATAGTCGTCAGCACCGTCCATATCATCGTCCTGGTACACGCTGGGGTCGCCAGAGGAGCGACCACGGGACGGCGCCCTTGCGCTCTCCACGTCTTCGGCGGGGGCGGCGCCCTCCGTGAAGGGCGGCACTTGCAGGGAGTTGCGCGCGCCGGTGTCTTCTCGCCCTCTCTGTCAGGGCAACGGGAAATTATATTTATATTCATATACAGTCAGTGATATGGATAGAATATAATATTATTAATAATAGGAATTATTGTAATAATAATAATATTATAATATAATATAGTAATATTATAATAATAATAATGCCCACTTCTATTTTTACCGGTAGGTAGGTGACTCATAATGCTCACTTCTATTTATACCGGTGGCTATGTTCACACTAGGCAAGTGTTAGCATGACGGTATTTATACTCGTATTTTATCATGTGTATCATTTTAGTGCGGCGTGAGAAGTCACCGTGAGAAGCCTGCGCTCGGGGAAAGAATATTGAACGTGACAACGATAATGAATTTAGGATAAGCTTCTGATGAAGCAGTAGATAAAATTGTTGTTATTCTAGCTTAAGAGATGAAAAATTCTGTCAAGCAACATAGAGTGTGGTTGAAAAACTTGATAGGACGGAGAGATAACTTTAGAACATCATCGATTTCATTTCGTGAACTAACATAGCGGTACAACTAGGTTTGCTACCTAGCTGTAGCGCACCTGTACCGGTACATTATATTTTTACTGGACGCTTACCGAAGCTTACAAGCAAATTTTTTTACTTCATGCGCATTCATATCTCAGGCTGAAGCAGCTAGCAGTCCTCCTCACGAGAAAAGTATTACTGAAATTGCTATCGGGTAATATTTGTTAGGTCTACTACCGGCTAATGTTAATTCCGTACACAGGCACTTTTTGGCCTTGGTTTGTGCTTTGACTTCCTATGGCGAAAGTTTTCTCAATGATAGAGTGAGTTCAAAGTGGTAACGCGTTTTGATTTTCTGGCGTTTGGAGATTTCTATTTCACCTCCGCCCCCCACAAAGGTTTTCTGTATGACTTTTCACTTGTATTTCATGGCGCCATTTACATAGGAAATTATTTCCTACATTTAATTACATAAAATATAAGATAGATTAAATTAATTAATTCTTTCAAAAATTCAGAATTTTTGTTAAAAAATGCCGCATGGAAACCCGACCACACAGAGTAAATGATCACGCTTGTTTCAGATCGCTGGCTGTCTCAGTGCAAGCGTCCTAACGAGACGTGCCAGAACTTGGGCTACACGGGACCGACCTGCGCGTGTGTCTGTCCCCCGGGCACGTCGGGGACCAACTGCGAGACCCGCAAACGCAACAGAGAACATTTTAAATTTGTCGTACGTGGCGGCAACCATCAGTGCAAGTCATTTTGCGCTCACTAGCAATTAACGTATCTTTTTTGGGATGTAGGCGCGTGACAATGTTGTTCCGGTTACTCATGTCAGGCGGTAGAGGGTTAATATTAACGAGCTATTTGATACTAGAACTAGAGCTGTTGCTCGGAATAGAGTTTTTGTTCGGCCTTTGCTTCGAGGAACTCAAAAGTGATCGCCATTTCCCACAAAGATACACTAAAACGATGTGTATTTGCTTAAGGAGACCCAGAATTGATCGATAAATTGCCTGAAACTCGTTAGTTGTTATTTGGCCTTTCCTATTTACAGATAATGCATCAATTGAAGTATTGATGGTTGATAATGTCACATGATGAAAAAACTAAGCAGTAAATGAAAAACTAGAGTTGAAATACATTTCTATTAAAATAAAACAAATGGTAGGGCTTTAGCAAGATAAATAATATGCATTTGACTCGTGTTCCTATGAACCTTATCCCTAAGAATATTATCTTTACATATATCATAAAAATTCAAATATTAATAAACAATATCAGAGTAGCCAGCTACGGATCAAAGATCGATAGCGAATTGATTTTTCAGAACGAATAAACGTAGACTAGAATTGTCTGCTCTGTCATCAGTATATTATCACTTATGACTGACATTATTACAGATGCGCTGAAGCAGAAGCTGTTACCCAGCAACGCTCAGGTGACCGTGGCAGGACCCATCACCTCCCCAGGCTACCCCACGCCCTCCACTACAGGTGCCTCACTACAATTCAACTTTGTGTTATTTTCATGTTCATATAATTTATGGTCTCTTGCACGCGAGAGCATTAGAGAATAATGATAATACACTCTGTGATGAAAGGAATACATCGATTTATTCTCTTCCCTATTAATTAATTCCTAGGTTAAATTTCAAGCATTGGCTGGAAAGTTACAATACTTCATTCTTCTCATAAAATTTTAATGCTATGGAAAGTATCGACCTGGCAGGACCTAACCAGGTCCAGCTAATATGCTTTTGTTTTAGCATGGGGGCATGGAATACTTCATTCATCACATAATATTTTAATACTTCTGAAAGTAATTTTATTTCGGTGCATTTTACTCTTTTGTCATTTCTGTCTCATCGTGTCCCCAGGTGCGGTGTTCACTAAAGTGATCGAGGCGCCGGCATGCCAGAGAGTCAAGCTCACCTTCACGGACTTCGCAACGTCGCCGCGGTGCGCTGACCGAACTTGCTGTCGGGAGGGCGTCGAGATCCAAGTGACGCCGCCCGTGTTGCCGACCTCAGCGGACAGCGGACAGTGGTACTGCGGCACGGAGATCACCGGTGGCCAAGTGTTCCTGAGCAGCGGCAACAAGCTCGTGCTGCTCTACCAGCTGCAAGCTTCAACTGCCAACACCAATAAGGGATTCTCTGCCACTGTCGCTTTCGAGGCTATTCCTGGTTGCTCTGGGTAGGAGACACGCAGGAATCTTTTACTTCGGGATTCTTCTTCGTGTCGGATAGCTTAGATTTGCCAGACCTGAATTTTTAGGGAATTTCACATTCTTGAAATGATTCCACCGTTATTTTTTCCATTTTGTAAAATATATGCTGTCATTCATGTGGGTCGAAAATTGTTCACCAGGAGTTTTCCTCGATTTTGTCATGCATTTCTTTGCCATTCAAATTAATCACATGATTTCCGCCACCTTGAAGTAATATTTTGATTTTTATTCGATTTTGAAGTAATATTTCACTGCCATTCAGATTAAAAGCTCGTCACAGAGGACGAACTATTTTCTTGATCATGTTCACAAAAATGAACATTTTAACAACTGGAATTTCCGATAGTCTATCGTGAATTTTTTATTTATCCCCTGCATCTCATATCTGGAATCATCTCATATCATAGCTGGAAGCATATTGCACTTGCTGTCACCATTATCCGATGTAATCAGTTTCTTTTCGTTTTCACTTATTATATTATATTTCCTAATTTTCATACATTTTCTCAGCATGATGAAGAGTAGTTTTGCAAGCAAAGTTATATTTTTTGTTAATTTTATTATACTATTTTTCAATAAATAAAATTAACTATTTTTGGTCGTTTTTCATTAACCACTATAAAGGTTAGAAAAAACTCAATGTGTACAGTTAACAGATATATTGAGCTGCCACGTGTGGGAAGATAGGATTAAATGGTATGTGCCTGATGCTTGCTGCGGGTAAAGCTCCCTTATTATGCATACGGTTTTTTTTTCAGCAGCAACGAAAGGAAAAGAAATTATTGATGAAATCACTAATGCCACATAAAAAACAAACTTAATTTTCTTATCCAATCGAGACAATTCAATCGAATTTTTACCGAAAAAAAATCACATAAAAAAATCAAAAAGGAAAGTCACCAAAAATTAAATTCAGCCAATGCGTTACATTTCGCACAATTTTTAAAAATTGTGAAATGTAATCATGTGACGTCACTCAACGACTGAAACGACAAATAGTGATAATACAATTTGAATGAATTCTATTAGATGAGAACTATATACACTTAATCTACTAAAATGCATATACTAATAGGATCGTGCGTCAATAATCTTATTTCATCTGTATGAGGTCCTAGACTGAACGAAGTGTAAATTAATTGCTTATAAAGTCATAAAATTGCATCATGCATATAAAGGGGATAAAACTGTCAGCTTTAAAAGTTGGATGTGTTAATATAAATCAGAAGGCAAAGTCTGTATTTCTAACTTTGACATCTTACATTGTATCCTTTTGACATCTTACATATAGGCCTATCCTTTTGGCGAATACATTATCCAGAATATCCAGCACTGTGATGCACACCTCTCATCATTTGGACGCAAAATATGGCTTAATATTTTTTGCACGATCATAATAATTCTAAAAATGGTTTGTAATCAAATGATTTCTCTAATTTTCACTGCTCACTCTCGTACAGCTGGTCACCGAAGTCATCTTCGTCGCTGAGGTCGATTGTCTGCATGTGCATGAAGAAAGGTTCGCTCCTCCGACGCCGCTCTTCGTTCAACGACACGTCCAGGAACTCCTCATCGATACCACTAGTTTTCTTCAACTTCGCGTTCTCCTTTGGCAAAGAATTGCTCTTGTTTCTGGCTGATGTTTCCCCGTTCCTCATGTTTGGCATGTTCATTTCCTGACCCGCAAGTTCAGTTTGATCTTTCGTTTGCAAGTTCCCGTTGGTCGATGAATTCAACGACTTGGAGATCATCATTCCCTGTCTTGGTTTGATGACCACAACCGCCCCGCCTTTACCATAGAACTCTTGAGTATCTTCAAAATCGCCCGTGTATTTCACGGACCTCAGTGAAGGCTTGCCGCTATTTTTCGAGGCTGTTTTTCCAACGTATTCTTGTTTCGTTGGAGTCTGTGGACGAGGCTGTTGGTTTTCCTGAATTTTTAAAGGGTCCACGGAGGTATTAGAGTTGACGAAATTTGTATTGCTGTAGCTTGAATATCTTTTAGTCGTCACGGTCTCCTTCAAGTCCATGGAGATGTCGTCTATGACATCCATTGCCGTACTGCAAAATAATCAGTCAATTTGTCGTTGAAATTAACCTTTTTATTTTATGTTATTTATTTCAAGATTAGACATAAATTGAGTAAAAACACTATTTATTTGTACAGGTTTAGACAAGTATCTACAAAAATAAAAATATCATCATATACATTATCAACCAAAAAAGTGTTGTTTCAACTATGATGTGTGTTGAATAACTCACATGCGAATAAAAACATACTTGAAAGTGTTAATTATGCAATAAAGCCTCAAGGAAAGTACAAGGAAAGGAATTAACTCAACAGTTTAGAGAAGAGCCTTTTAAGTTAATACATTCCATGTTGTTCAGGCCACATTTGCATTAACAGCGTTAAACTGGATAACAAATTAAGTCGCTCGACGCATGATGTACCATCAATACGAGAAATAGGCGATTGGAAAATTGGGGACACATTATCATGCAAATTCTTCAGCCTATGTATCGTTCTTAATCCATTTCACTTAATAATTCTCTCTTCTGGACTATTGAAATTGCCATTTTTGCCTCATTTAAAATCTATTTGCTACTCTAATTATCGAACTACAATATTGAAAGGCATATCATTCAATTTGTAAAGAAAATATTTAGCGGTTTTAGAAGCCCTTTTTCTGATTTATTTATTGTTCGGCTTATTTGTTGTGAAAGTTAACGAAATTGGGGAAGAGGTGAAGAAATGAAAAAAAGTCCGCTAAGAAAATGTAGAAAAATGTTTGCTATCTCGGGGCGCTAGATAATGCATTAAAGTCACAAATGGGTTGAGAATCGCATAATTTGTCTCTCAATATCGTGGCTCGTAAAGGAAAAGAGGATATAGATACTTCGAAAGTCCCCCTTTTTACGTTTTCTATGCATTTCACGTTTTATTTCATTTACTCAAAAATCATATAAACCAAATTTTTAATGTTTATCATATGTGTACAAAGTTTCAGGAAGATCTGTCAGTCAGTTAAGAATTTTTTTTGATCGGCAGACCCTTCTCTTAACATTTTCAGAAATACAAACTTTACCCGCACTTGACTCGTTTACCTTTCTGTTTCTAGATTATTCGTGTAACCACTTAAGGTTGAGTTAAATATTGAACAACCCCGTGTATGCGGACAAATGTGTAATGTAACGCCTTATAAAATACCTTTTTCTCCAGATCTTTCCTGGAAAGATACACCTCCCTGACCACGGTCGAGTGAAATAGAACAGAAGCCCGAAGAGGATTGCCACAATCGCCACGCTCGACAGCGTGATGGTGACTATGAGGATTGTCACGTCGTCCTGTAGGTGTTCAAGAAACGCTATTAGCGGTAAAACTTGCAAAAATGTTGACTAATTCTCCTCTACCAACTCGTGTAATTCGATCCTGAACTAATCTACTTGAGCAACCATGCTGTTATTTTATACAGAAAAATAATTATATAATCCTTGGCAAGACGAGTTAAATTAAGTAACGAGGTAACTCCTGAGATTTATTGGGTAATCTCACTGAGGAAATTCGAGTATAGATCAAGTGACTAAAATACTCGAATAATCCATCTCATAAACATCTTTTGACCAGGACGAAAAGAGATTAACATAATGAAGGGTTAAACCGATTATGAAAAACAGTTTAAGGCGCGATTGGTGGTAAAAAATAGCATGCATCGCTGTTATGATGGCTTTAGCTTCCAGAATACACCATACATTGTCATTACATTAATCAGCAGCGATAATGTTGCGTCATTCCGCGGGAGGCTCCCTCCACGTTAATCTTATCATTGTGCGTGACCACAATCTACGGACGTGGTGAGCTTATCGGCGGAATCGTGCAAAGCGTTCACACCCACGGGTATCATTTATACGCGACGAAGATGGAATGAACCCAAGAGAAAAATCCATCCAAATTTATGTCATTTTTCATAATTTAATACGTCAATTTAGTAGATCAGATGAGTTTAATATTATTGAAATCATTTACGTTAATTTTCTAATTCTTGATTTCCCAATCTATTTTATCTCCATGATTGATACCTAAGGCTTCTCGCTTATATCATGACTTGTTTCAAATATTTTCTACCTCCCTTAGTGTAACTGAAGCCTTGAAATAACCACTTGTATATGTCCTCTGCTTTCTTCAGTTTCACTGTCACCTGCGTCTCACTGATCCGAGCCACGACGTATTCCTCCGCGATGTCCAGGACTTGAGTCGTGTTCTCTACGAGGACGTAAAGCTCTTCGTGCGAGCCCTCAACCAGGCTGGGGTCCGACGACCCTTCCTGCACGAGCGCATCCAGGGCGGACGCCTGGGACTCTAGTTCATCGCCGTGTTCCCTGTCCGTTGCTCCATCAAGAATCTGGTTTACATCAAATCAATTCACGGGAGATGAATAAATAAAGGGTATTTAATGCCTCTTGTATGCAGGGTGAAATCCATATTATATTACCGAATGTTGTTAAGAATTTGGTTATTTAAATGCATGACCGCCGTGAGCCTCCGCTGCATGAACTTCCACACGAAATGGACGAGTTAGAAAGACTTACTTTGCTGAGTAAAGGGCTGGCAAAAATAATGCGCTCTAAAGTGATTACATATGTGCGACTCACGGCACGGACCCTACCGCACGTAACCAATGATTGAGGCGCTGATGATGAGGTGGGCGAGTAAATGAATTAAATTTAGTCAGAAAGAACAATTTTTACATGTACATTACTGATTTTCTCTCTAATAATTTCATTTCATTTTGTCTTTATGAATAAGAATTTCTAGAGCGTATTGATTTGAAACATTGCTCTGAATATAGGGAATTTAACAAAATATTATATACCAAATTGACGTTTATTAATATTGCTTTGTAATATTAATAAATATAAAACTGATAGATAATGTAAAACTGTTCGCTAATTCATACCTCATATGAAAGCCGATTAATTTTGGAAACTACCAAGATTACATCAGCCTCCCAGTCGGCGTTTGTTCTGTTGCTTTCAATGCTCAGGAGGTCAATGTTTTGTAGGTTATCACCCTCTTCTTTCTCTTGCAAAGATCGACGAAATCTTAGTCTTGCTTCTTGTGGAATCTTCCGCTGAATGAATAATGCTCTCCATAGTTTAGCGGAGACCTCAGAGAAAAGATTTATTGGTTTTTCTGTTGCTTGGGCAATGTTCGTCATTATATATGAGTCGTCATCGCTCATGTAATTATCTTGCACTTGAACGTAATTCCGACGGTTGTGCTTGGGACCAAAACTTGAATCTCCATTAACAGCCAATAACAAAGTGTCTTTTTGATGCATTTCGTTAGGAGTTTTAATCTCCCTGAATTCATTTTCGCCTTTTTCATCGAAATAATTGTGAGCATAGTCAAAATTTTCGTCTTCATCAGCAAGCACATCACCTTCCTTGAGTTGATTCTTCGCAACCTTGTCGATGAACTTGACTGTTCTGCCGTTCGATACTACGACCGACGGCCCCAAGAAACTTTGATCGTTTCTATCAATCAGTCCAAGTAGCCGCCGGATTACTGGCTTCGGGTCATAAAGATGGTTTTCATCGGAATTCATTGTATTTTTAATACCTTCATTAGTGGATCTTCTCAATTCTGCCACCTGAGATGTGTTAGGAGAGTGAAGCATTATGTTGCTTGTCTGATCAATTTCCGGAGACGAACTCCGTCTTTGCCACAAGTCGTTGGTTGACGATTCAGTGTTGGCAATAGTAGTTGTTTCTGCTGGGTTCATAGTAGTGGTTGACGATACAGTGATGATAATAGTAGTATTTTCCGCTGTTTTGCTAGTGGTGATTAATGATTCGTTAGTGATGGTGGTAGCAGTTGAGGCTATTTCTTCGAGGGAAGTAACGTGGTTGTTTGTTTCCACGGTGGATGTGGTGGTTAAGGAAAATTCCTCGCGGATGACAGCGGTTGGGATCGTTTCCGCGGATGTTGTAAATGTTGTATTTCCTTCCTCGATGGTGGTAGGGGTATCAGTTATAGCGTCTGCGCTGGTAGGAGCTGCAGACGTTTCCTCTGCGCTCGCATGCGTAGGATGCGTGTCCTCGGGAGTAGTAGAGATGGTCGTTACAACTTCGAAGGTGGTTGGAGTGTTAATTGTGGTCTCAATTGCAGTTCGGGCTGAAGTCGTACTCTCGGTTGCGATAGATGCTGAAGTAGATTCGTGTGCTGCGGTAGACGTTTCAGTTATTTCATCAGAGGTGGTTTTGATTAGAGTTGTTTCCTCGCTGGTAAGGCTGAGCACTGTTGTTTCAGAAGTAGGGTACGGGGTAGTTGTAGTGTCTTCAACGTAGGTGAAGGTTGGGGTTGTTTCCTCCGTTGTGGTAAGCGCTTTAGTCGTTTCTTCGGTATTGGTGGTTGTAGTTATTGCCATGGTGGGGGTTGGTGTCATTGATATTTCCTCAGTGCTGGTCGGGGTGGGAGTTGTATCGACGGTGGTGACAATCACTATAGTTGTTTCCATGCTGGTTGTAGAGGTTGTTTCTTCGGTCCTTGTAGACTCTGTGGTCGTTTCTTTAGCAGTGGAATGGTTTGCTGTTGTTACCTCAGTTTGGTTTGTGGTAGTTGCAGTTTTCTCTGTTAGGGTAGGGGTTTCAGTTGTTTCGTCGGTCATTGAATGTATTGTAGTTGTTTCCTCGATAGTAGTAGGGCTTGAATCTGTCTCTTCAGTGTTGTCGGTTGAAATTAAAGTTGTTCGCCCGGTGGTGTCATTTGCGACTGTAGATATTTCCTCGGTTGTGGTATGGGTAGGAATTGTTTCCCCGGTAGTGGTAGGGGTTTCAGTTGTTTCGTCGGTCTTTGAATGTTTTGTAGTTGTTTCCTCGATAGTAGTAGGGCTTGAATCTGTCTCTTCAGTGTTGTCGGTTGAAATTCTAGTTGTTCGCTCGGTGGTGTTGTTTGCGACTGTGGATATTTCCTCTGTTGTGGGATCGGTAGGAATTGTTTCACCGGTGGTGGTACTGGTTGCATCTTCAGTGGAGCTGGCGGTAGGAGAAGTAGCCTCAGTGATGTTGAAGCTTGTGGAAGAAATTATGACAGTACTTTTGGTGGAAGATATCAGAGTTGTGGACGGCACGTTCGAAGTTGACAGAGTTGCCTCGCTGGAATCTGTTGACTGAGACACAGTAGTCTCAGGTGACGTGCTGGTCATTTCCGTGGCGTTGTACAGTAGAACTTGTAAGTCCCTCAAGGCGTTGTCGGCGTGATCAAGGGCGGCCTGTATAGCTTCTAGATCACTCATTTCTGTAAACGCTGCAATCATAAGATAAATTATGAGCACAGTATAAAATTAATTATTATGTAGTATGAATATTCTAGAATTAATAAATATATAATTAAAATTTCCAAGCGTTATATTTTTTAAAGTCGAAAATTGAGTACATACAGTATATATAAGAGAGAGCCACGTACTTGCGTTTTTTTTCTTTTATCGTACCGCTCCATCACCACGATATTATATATATATTAGTCGTGTAAAAACGTTAAAAATGTTAAATTTATTTGTTGAATAATGGGGCATAACTGAACGCATGTCAATAATCCGAAGTTTACTAGTTATCTTTCAATAAAGTTTTCAAGTTTAAAAAAATAGTGATAGTAAAAAATAGGAACTGATTTATTTTAAATGGGTTGTTTGTTCAAGTTATTTGTTGTGCGCATTATCTAAGAATACGATGTTTTTCCACCGTGAATATCAAATTGGTCTGAAAATTCTCTGCTGGTTTGACTGGTTATAAAAAGCTGTGTCTGGCGTGTACTCATAATACCTGTCGCTTCTAGATCAATGGCATCATTGTGATACCACCACAAAGTGAAAGTTAAAAATATTGAAGGTCAACACGAAATAATAAGGTTAATAATAGTTTGCAAGAATTAGAATTTAATATCAAAATTCAACCATATCTCATTTTATATTTTATGCAAGTGATGTTGAGCGAAGCTTTTACGAAGTTTATTTTTAAGGAGTGCTATCTTGAAACATGGACAGTATATTAGCTAAAATGTAAAATGTTTATTTTGAAGAATTACATCTTTTTGTTTTCACCCGCAAAATTTATTTTGATGAAAGGAAAAATTCGAAGCGCAGGGAACGTGTTGGATATCGAACCACGATATATATATATATGATATATATATTCATGCCATATAGAACCGACTACACCACTCACCGCTTGCCGACACTTCCTGGAGGTTCACGGCTAACGATAATATGCATAATAAAAACACTTCTGACGTTTTCATGGCGTTCATTTTACGTTCATCTATTCATGAATGAAAATAGTTACCTGAAAAAATAATATTCATTCGATAATAGACATTGCAATTTCCATTTATTAATAACTTATCTTTATTTGAGCAAACCACTTCTAGCAAATTAGTTGATTAAACTAGTAAGTAAGAAAAAATTAATTAATTGAAATACGGACCCAGACATCACAATATTTTGTCTATTGAAACCTGAATTCGGCGGTCAAATTTGATAACAAACAGTGTTTGGTGAAGATTACGGGAAAGAAAACTGACGAAAATTTTGCATCAAGCCATGAGTTTGAACTGACTAATTTTGCAAAATTTTTATTTGCCGTGTTTAAAGGATATTGGCACAGGAAACAAAAAATTGATTTGTGACATACATTTCCTTAGGCAGACTATCTTTGATTGCCTATTTTCCAATAAAGATTAATGGAAATTGATCGAAATGCATTACTGCACAGATCTGGATCTTCAGCGCTTAAAACATCTACATCGAGTAATTACTTGATTATTGCGCGTAGTTCGCAGGGCGGAGGCGTTTGCACATGAAAAATCACCAGGGTAAACTATCCCGTACTTGTAAAGAGTACTTAATTGGTATTTATTGAATCGAGGGCCAATAATATAAGCAATGTTGTTGGTCCACCAAACTACCAAGACAAATTAACTATTACATATGTATTCCTAACTAGTAAACGATCGGCTGATAAATTAATTGACACCGAAAATAAGAAAATACGAGAAGTTATTTTCACACCAAAGCACCATAACAAACCGGTCCTGTCGTCAACGGGGTTATAAATTTGATAACAAATCTATGAACACCGAGAATAGCCGAAGTTGTTTGCCCACCAAAGTACCAGGACAAACTGGCCCGTGTCATCAGTGGGTTATTATATTGAATAAAAAATCTATGAACACTGAAAATAGCCGGTGTTGTTTGCCCACCAAAGCACCAGGACAAACTGGCCCGTGTCGGGTGTGCGGATTAACGAAGGTGAAGGCAGCGGCCGCGGTGCAGTGTACAGGGACGCAGATAGTGTTACGGCTATCGCTGTATCTGCCCTAACAATGCCACGGTCGGCTCAGGTTATGTGCCTCGCGCTCATCCCAGCTATACTCTTTATCTATTCCACTTGATTATTCCTATTTTGCTGTAGTTTTTCATCTGCCGCTTCGTTGTTCAGTTTCTAAATCAGTTAGTTCTTGTTTATTTTAGTTCTGTGCCATGAGATTTTATTGCTTTATTATTCCTTAATTAATTAAATTAATTAATTATTCCTTAGTTAATGAAACACTCATATTTTAAAATTAAATGCGTCGTTCCTGATAGTTTCTAAGACGATAATTAAGCACTTCTGATCGCTCAAGTTTATTCTATTTCTCGCAACATTGTTTATGTCAAGTAATACATCACAATTGCCAAGCAATAAATTTTCTAGAAACTTTTATTAAATTCTGCTGTATGCATTCGATAAAATAGCTAAACAGAGCGGTAATTTAACGGATACTGTAAAATTACTGCAGATTTTCAGAGAATTCTAAAATTTATCATCGCTTATCTGCATTAATGCAGATACGCTGCTCGCTATTAGCTTATTGGGAGGCGAAATCGTCTATGTTTAGCTTAGTCTGAATTATTATTGTGCCAACCTTACGTCTGTGCCGATCTAATCATTGAACCATCATGCGACGTACGACAAATCTTTCTTTTAAATTATTGTGATCTTTAATACACGTACTCTCCACGAGAGAGAGGCATACAAATTGTGACAGTGACTAATTCCTTTGAATTCAAATATTGTTATAATTAATTAACTCTTGCTTACTGTACCGGTACGGATGGCAGTAATTTTTTCCTGCAGTGTGAACAACTACTGAGTTAATCATTTCCGACTGGCCGCTGTACATTAACTTCGTTTATCGTTCAAAGAAATTTCATCGGCTTCACTGAAATTTTTTATTTACAATTGTTACCAATTTCAATAGGAATTATTATAGTATTTCCGAGTATGAGTACATTTATTTTGTGTTAAAGTCAATCATTACTATTTAGTGTGGACTATCTCTCGTTTACTTCTAATTAACGAATGTTATCGTAGTTGGCTAAATTGAAACTCCATTGCGTTGCATGATAATAAAATGGAACAGTGAAATTGGTACTGAATTTCATTTAATTATTATCACAATGACAACTCATTGGGAATTGCATAATTACCTGAAACAATAATATTATTAACAGAAAAGAGGATGAAAATTTAGTAATAAACACATTCATAATTATGATATATATTATAATCAATATGTGAATATTGATAAAATTTTAAAATTTGTGTGAAAGTATTCATAGGACAGTATGAAGTGCATTGTCAATACGGAACCGCAAACATATGAGTCAACTGGACGGCTATCTCGCGGTATAACATCGCAGTGCACCCACACTTCCGCTTCCGGTGCACGCCGTGCCCAAGCTTACAGACCAGCAGGCTTCCTGTGCGTGAGGGGCGCGAGAAATTGCACCGGGCGTGTTTGGCGCGAGACGTTGCACCGGGCGTGTTTGGCGCGAGACGTTGCACCGGGCGTGCGGGGTGCGAGACGTTGCACCGGGCGTGTGGGGCGCGAGACATTGCACCGGGCGTGAGGGGTGCGAGACGTTGCACCGGGCGTGCGGGGCGCGAGACGTTGCACCGGGCGCGAGGATTGCGAGACGTTGCACCGGGCGCGAGGATTGCGAGACGTTGCACCGGGCGTGAGGGGTGCGAGACGTTGCACCGTGCGCGAGGATTGCGAGACGTTGCACCGAGCGCGAGGATTGAGAGACGTTGCACCGTGCGTGAGGGGTGCGAGACGTTGCACCGGGCGAGAGGGGCGCGAGACATTGCACCGTGCGTGAGGGGCGCGAGACATTGCACCGTGCGTGAGGGGTGCGAGACGTTGCACCGGGCGTGCAGGTAGACAGCTGGCAGTGCCCAGCAGCCCGTGGTAGGGAGTGAGTGTGGCTGGTCCAGCTGGCGCAGCTCCGTGTAGTCTTGTCTTCGTATATTCATCATCCGATAACTCTTCACAGAAAACAATAATTATGCAGAAGATGACATTTAATAGCAAAAATTTGTAACTGAAACCGCTTTGCTTCTTAGTTTAGGGAAGAAGTTAATTTATCGTGTAATTTGAAAGTGACTTAGTTGTGGGTTTTAATTTTAAAAGTGAGATTAATTTAATAATTCTATAATATATGATTTGAGAATTGCAATCTGGTTATTATAAGTGAATTTTTGGGTTATCTGATGGGAACCGCGTGTCACTCAGTCGTGAACATGATGCAGGAAGTTCAACTCTTCACTGAAAACGATAATTATGCTGAAGATGACATTTAATAGCAAAAAATTGTAATTTAAACCGCTTTGCTCCTTAGTTTAGGGAAGAAGTTAATTTATTGTGTAATTCAAAACTGACTTATTTGTGGATTTTAATTAAAAAAAAGTGAGATTTATTTAATAATTCTGTCAGAAATGATTTAAGAATTAAAATCTGGTTATTATAAGTTAATTTTTGGGTTATCTGATGAGGCCCGCGTGTCACTCAGTCGTGAACACGATGCAGGATGTTCCTTGCCAAGCTAGGCCTCCATTCGTTATTGCTGTTATTGAATCAATAATTTATGGCAAATTACGAAGTTTTGCAAACGTGAAACTGTTGCGTGCACTTTGCATGTCGCTGAAATTCAATGATCTGGAATGTCCAATTCCATAATTCAACATTAAAACATATTATATCTGGTTGTTTTCATTCACGAATAATTAGTAATTTTCGATTTGAATTTAAAAACAACTAATCGTATCGTTATGACAATTTTTACTTGTGAAACACTTGCGAATACGGAAATTATTAAAAAAAAAGAATTATGAAGAATTATTGAGCTACTTCACTATTTTAATCGTGAGTTTTATATTTAACATAAATTAACGTTTTTCTACACTCCGGAAGACTATAGTTGCTTATTGATCTCATATATACGATACTGTTTGCTTTTTTATCGCTCTTTAGATATTTTCAGATCTGGATTTTATTAAACTGTTTGCTAGACCTCACTAACGTGAAGGAAACAGAGCAGCTTCACCTATTGCAAAGAATGTCTATTTAGTTCATCCTATGAGGCAATGCAAGCTCATCACGGCACGACACGGTGTGTCAGAGATAAGGAAAGTGAAATTATATTGACGACTGTCGAAACAACATGAACTTGCATACCACCAGAAAGAGCGATTTGTGTTCCACAGCGGGAAAAAGCAATGATTAATTAAAAGGTGATTAGAAATTTCCCATAGCATTAGTGCTCAGAATTTTTTTTATATTGCTAATTATTGTCAAGGATTTAATTGAGTGATAGGAACATATGTCAGTGAATTAAAACCAGGATCTTTCAGAAGTGAATGTGAAATTTCTACTAAAACCCAAGTCTTGTGCAACAAATTCATTGAAATGCGAGTTTGAGCATTTCGCTCAAAATTTAAACTCAATTCACTTTGATATATGAACTAAATTTTGAAATAACCGCGCTAACGATGCCAATAGAGCGAGGACGACCATCGCAACGGATCCACGCCAGCGGAGTTGGCGGGTCACACCAATCCTCGCAACGATCTCACGGACGATCCTCGTCGTCGTCTCGAACTTCATTGCATCGTTGCAAGGACTGCTGTCGAAAATTTATATCTCTCATGTGCACTCAAGTGGGGGTAGGAAGCTTGCTGATATCCTACGCCATCGTAGGAGCTTTTGCTTTTGTTGCCATCGAAGGCGAGATGGGCAAAGCAACGACCAACATGACTGTCGAGATTCACAACCAGACGCTGGAGAACCTTTGGCGCCACACCTTGAAGTTCAACGTGTTGAACAGAACAATGTGGTCGGAAGAAATTGACAGAACTTTAATAATTTTCCAAAGGAGGGTTGTGAAGTCCATCATTAAAGATGGATATGAAGTTATGGACCCGAAAGATATATGGACGTTTCCAGCATCGTTGATGTTTTGCCTCAGCGTATTCACTATGATAGGATATGGACACATGACCCCGAAGACTGTCCCTGGGAAAATATCGACTATTCTCTATGCAGTCATTGGGATACCTCTCTATATTGTCTACTTCATGAACATGGGCAGAGTTTTTGCTAAAACATTCAAATTTTTGTACCGAAGTATCTACAGATGCGTAAGCCAGGAAAAGAGGGAGGCAGAAGAAGAAGCGAGATTATCCGGTTGGGAGGAACCAGCAATTCTAGTGCCATCAACTGCTTGCGTTTGGGTTATGATTTTATATGTCGTTTTTGGTACAGTTATGTTTGCGGAGTGGGAGAATTGGTCGTATCTAGATTCGTGTTATTTTTCTTTTACCTCTCTGGCAAAAATCGGTATCGGTGACATCGTCCCGGGCATCGGAAGCAACGGACATACCAACGACAACGCTACCAAGCTCATCATAAACTCGATGTATCTGCTTGTAGGCATGGGCCTAATAGCAATGTGCTATACTCTTATGAAAGAAGAATTTCTGACTAAAATTAACGCTGCTAATGAAGAGTTCAAGGAAAAAGTCTACCTCTGTGGACTCAGGCTGGGTCTGATCGTGGAAGACGATGAAGAAGATGACGAAGAAATACGGCATCTGCCATCGAGGTCTATGAAACCAAATCGAAAATCAGTTCGGCGCCGCTAGTCTTTTTCTGGAATTGTTTTTTTTTTATCGATGTTAGATATTGTTACTGCATTCATAAAATTCATGAATGTATGACTTTATTTTATTCAGTTTCGAAGCACTAAAAGATGCATGTGGCTATAGTTCATCGAAAGTTATCAGGTTCGTATTGGTAGTTATAGCTACTTCCCGAAGCGGCCTTACTTATCAGGTTAGTATGGGCAGCTATTTTTTCCAAAGGCACATGGTCGTCTGGTTTCTATGGTAAGCCACTTCCCCAAATGGCATATGGTTATCAGGTTAGTATTTGCAGCCACTTTTTAACAGCACATGGTTATCAGGTTTGTTTGGTCTCCTACTTCCTGATACGGCACACGGTTATTCTATGTCGATTCGCAATCCATTGAAATTAAATTATAAGAAAATTTTTCACCCTGGCATCTGCTGATAGATGCTAAACAATTTCAAATTTTTTAATCAATAATTGAGTAATTTGTTAAAACATTAGGAAATGTAACGCCTCATTGTATCCTGAAGCAGTGTGTGCGTAAAATCTGAATGTATATTGAAATACCAAGGGAGTAAATAAGCGAATGCAATTTTTTTTCTCTGCGATATACGTCACATGCTCATGGCAATAGATTCTGTGGTAGTGACATAAGCTCCGGAATGATGCAAAAAGCGATTAGTTCTTGCATTCTTGACGCGAGATTTATGATTACTAAGAAACATAACTGTGTCAGGCTCATTCTTTATGTAGTCAACAATGAGTTGTTTCATATCGTCGCAAGTATAAGCCTGTACTTACCCAACTACATGTGTCATCCGGTGGCATTCATGCTTTGTGCTCGGGTCTCGGCACTCGACACTATCTGTTGTCTCGTAGATTTTAGAGACAGGGCATTCCGCTTCGCTAACCTTGCTTCATTTGTTACGCTTTTGTGTCGTTAATGGGACACTTCAAGGGCCCTGAATGACAGACTGTTTAGGAGACCATGATGGGAGTAACTCCCGAGCTCTTTGGCGTAAATTTTGACATCATTGTAAGCTGCATGTAGAACGGCTGCTGTCTCAATGTCTTTTGTATACATTGAGATTTGGAAATTTTGCGAACTATTTTTAGTGATATATAACTCTTCACCGGTGTGATTGCACATATTTAAATGCTAAATAATGCAAAAGGAAAATTTTTTCACGAAAAATTACCGAGATTGTTAAGAAATTTCGATCCAAGGTAATCTCTTCGAAGCCTGACGTTTTGAATTATTTGTGTTAGCGACATACTGTAGTGAAAATAGGAAGAGAGAATTGCTAATAGATATTTGCTTCAGAGCTGTGGTTTCTCCGCATAGATAGATGCAACGCTCGACGCTCGTTAATGTACTCAACTTTGCACTGTTTACACTTATTAGTTGCTAGATCAAAACGCATATCTGACTCTGATGGAAATTTTTCATTTCATTTTTTGGCTGTTTTCGGTATAGCTATAATATTTGCAAGAATTTCGATTTATATTGCATTAATTTTAGAATGTCTTTTCGATTCTCGCATTATTGTAATATTGTGATGTTTACAATAGTGCATAGCTTTATGTCAGCTCAGATCGAGCAACAGAACGAATTATGCTGAGTTTTCCCAATATTTCATATGACTTACTTGATGGTAAGCGTATTATTCAATGAAAGTTGGGAATCAGTTTGAATTTATGAACGTTAGATAAAAAATACACAAGTAAAATACATGAATTGACCGAGTTAAGCTTCTCCGCCTTCCGTTGCCTCTATCTGTAACGTCACATTATTTTTAAAACCAATTTTCATGACTTCAGAAACGATATAATTAGCCTCTCGAGAATGAACATGTCCGTTTCAACGGTCGAACCAACGGTCGAACTCAAGACAATAAACAGGCGGACGAGCCGGACCTGTCCAAGCTATCCATGCACCATTCACGCATAACTTCAAGAAAACGTTGGAGGCCACCGCCGTGCACAGCTGAATAATTATTGTCCGCAAACTTCGGGCATGCGACTTGAATTCGGTTTTGATGGACTATATATAACTAGAATTGGGACGCGAAAGTAGCTGCGTAAAACGGCTTTGGTCACTGCAAAAAATTTTGAACTGAATAGTACCAATGAGTTTTTTTCATACCGGTGTCAGAACAAAGAAGCCGTTATATGCATGTATAACCAGAACCACAAAGCCTTTGTATGCCAATGCCACAACTAAAAAGTGTTTGTAACCCAGTACATGAACAAAGGAGCCTCTTTATGAAATACCAGAACCATCTATCGTTTTAATGCCAGTATATAGAACCTAGAAACCTTTTTTACCAGTACCAGAACCAAGATGCCTTTGAATGTCACTTCCATCACCAAGAAGCCTTTGTTTGCCAGTACCGGCAATATGAGCTTTGCATGCCAGTACCAGAACCAAGATGCCTTTGAATGTCACTTCCATCACCAAGAAGCCTTTGTTTGCCAGTACCGGCAATATGAGCTTTGCATGCCAGTACCATGCAGAACCAAGATGCCTTAATTTGTATACCAGTGCGTGAACCAAGGAGCATTTATATGATAAACCAATTCCAAGATTATGTCAGTGCCTTCCCCAAGATGCATTTTAATGTCAGTATCAGTACCATGATTCATTTCATGGCATTACCTGCACCATAACTTATTTTCAATTTATTTAGTATACCAATTCCAAGATTCATTTCATGTCTGTATCTTCACCAAGATGTATTTTAATGCCATTACCAGTACCATGATTCATTTTTATGTCATTAACTGTACCATAACTTATTTTCAAGCCATTATCAGTAGCAAAATTCTTTTTCACGAGCCTGCCTTGGTCAAGCTCTCTAATCCCAGCAATGTTCTTTGATGCACTCGTTTAAATGACAAAGTTTGCTAATGTATTATGTAACCTATAGATTTAAAAGAAAAATAAGCAATAGAATTAGTATATTTTGATCACAATAATGAGAAATAAATTTGATTTGTTTATTTGCTTAAAGACAAATTGTATGAATAAAATATGTTGTTTTATGAAGAGATTTTATTTTTCTTGCCCTTCAATCTTTATTAGTTGAAAACCTCTCCTTTTTTCTAATTCTACAAAACCAAATAAAATAATAGTACAGAATAAAAATTTGTGATGAGCTTTATTGATGTCTCTAGTTGTGGCTGCGAGCATTTGAATTCCCTCAAATACGAATTCTCTCAAATTTGAATTCTCTCTCTCTTCAACCACAAATACTGTGCGTCTTAACCTCCTATGTCGCCACAATCGTTTTTCTGCCGCCTGCACTTGTCAGGTCTGTCCAAATCCATGCCTGAATATCAAATTATATACAAGTAGGCTGAATGAGACAAAAATCTGCATTTCCATTGCAATAATTAATTATTTGGAAAATTTCTTTATTTAAATTCCAGAACCTTATTCTGTACAGGTATGCGAATCAGATTATGTCTATCACACTATTCATTACGTGTTAGCAACATTATTGCACGTTAGGCATCTCTGGCCTCTAGCCAATTAGTGGGACCGAAAACTTACAATGTTCATTCCACACCTGATGCTGGTTCCTGTTCTGCAAATAATGCACTGGGCCTATACTTTAAAAAAAGGTTAAGAGATCGTAAGTTCACCAGCCAATCATTGACGGCCTTTCAAGCCAAATCCACCAATCATAGACAAGAAAATAAGGCGTAAGTACTTACGTTCACTTAGCGAGTTTTGAAAGTATGGCCCCTGACTTGGCATGGTGGCGTGAATAACAGAGTGTCATTTAGCTGTGACATCAAATATATTGTACGTAACTTGGCTCTAGGTGCGTTGTACATAAGTACATGCTGCGCTAAATTCATCACATTCTCGTGGATAATTTACCGTGTCCATTTTCTATGTTATGGCGGTATTATTGAACGTTTTCTGGCACATCATTTTTGCACATCACGGCTGCCATCTCTCAGGTAATCAATAATTAGAACAGAATTTTCGCAACGATCATATTGTTTCACTTGTAACGAAAGTCCAAGCCACATCAATAACGAAAAAACGACGAATGTGTACAATGTATATAACAATGAGTAATGTTTCCTTTCAGATATTGGCTAAGAACATTCCTTTGTAAATGGATGTCATATAAAAATTTTAATGGCTAGTACAAAAAAGATCAGGTAGTAATTCCCGTTTATAAGTTCTTAAAAAATTATAGGATTTAATTTTCGATTTCACGTTAATCTGTTCAAACAGCGACTCATCGAATTCAGTTATATGTCGTAAGCCGCAAACCTTCATTTGAAGCTGCCAGACCTGACATTCGTCTAAACCGAATTATGCTTAAAATCACAACAGTATTTTCTTGATTTAATTTTATTTTTTTTTCAACCATTGAATTGAAATAAAATTTGAGTTATAATCCATCTGAAAGTTCGGTATGACGTGCTGTGCATTCAATATAATTGATGGAAATTGCGAAGACACCATTGTCCAAGTGGGCATTTGTAACTCAGTCGACCACTGACTCGATGTTCTTCAAACAAAGTCAAACAAAGTGTCTGGTCTACGAATACTAATGAATGATTCGAGCCTTTAGGTTCTTTCTGGCAAGCAGCTGTTGGTTTAGAGCATCTGACAATCTGTTTACAAGCTGCTGCTTAGCCTCGAACAAATATTTGTGATTTTTTACTGCCTAAAGATTCGCTGTCAGTTCTTTGAGTGGCCGTAGTTTTCTTTAGACCAAAAATAAATAAATGTTGTGAAACTGAGAACTGGCCTGTGGATGTGCTCTCCCCTTATTTATTAGACGCATTCCATTCTTTCGCATTGTAAGTCATGTCAGTGACGTTAGTGTACCTTACTATTTCAATTACAATCGTTAATCAGGGCATATATTTCCTCAGTTTTAATCTGTTTTTGACGAAATGAGTCAAATGAAAGAAAAAAATACTGCTTGTATGAATGCTTATGATCCTACGTCCTATATTTACCGTCGTATCCACAAATAATTTCCACGCACGCCATCTCGGGAAATGTCGGGGAAAATTTGTAA